TATATAGCTCAGTGATAGTAGTCATAATTGTGTTACCTCTGGGAGAGGGGTGTAATGACTGGGGGACCCTAGTGGCCTTCTGAAGTTCTGTTACTTAACATGGGTGACAGACACACAGCCTGTTCACTTGGTGAAATTTCAATGAGCTCAGCACCTATGATCTATTCACTTTCTGGAATGGATGTTACACTTTAATTTTAAAATTTTTACTTTAAAAACATTTAGCAATATGACAAGAAAGATCACCTAAACATCACTTCATTACATAGAAGCCAGGAGTGTCAGATAACATATAGCCAATACCCTCTGTAGATATACAAATGAACTCTCCTGAATGTAAGGGAAATTCTAAGGGCCAACGTAGGTTCTGAGTTTCCTACCCAGGATGGAGGTGGGGGCTGGGAGGTGTTCATAGATGGACTATAAGAAGATGTGAAGCCTGGGGTCTTCACAGGGTTTAGAGCTAGAATAGATACCCCTATAGAATGGTAGAAACCTTGAAAGGCTATATCCTATTGCCTAAAAGAGAAAAAAAGCAACCACTGTAGGTAAAGTAAAATAGAAAGGCTATGTGTCTCAGCCTGGGTTCCAACTGAAAGAAGTCGACAATAAAGCGGTCTTTCCTGAAAATTTGTAACCAGGGGGCTTGTCTTCAGTTATGCGGGGGACCACAGTTATATTAACAGATATGAAAAGAGTCACCCAGTGTCATGTCCAGCCTTTTCTTCACTTGCACAGAAAAACTGTGAGCAGCACAGAAGCTGGCACCTAAAGGATACGGGTCCCTCTATCTCAAGATTTCTCCTGGTCTGATTTTGCATCGGCAGTAATATCAAGTGGAAGATTTTGCCTTCAAGGGAGGCATCTGCACTTCATAATCAAGAAGAAACATAAAAGTCTTGGCTGCTTAGGCATCCTCCACAGAATGAGCCTTTTTGAAAACTGTAGTGTTTTTGACTTGACATTTAAACCCACAGATTCTTAATGAACATTGAGACAGCCCCTCTCTCAAGGTTTTTAAGCTTGCACACAGGCAAAACCTTTGAATCTGAATGCATACTCTTAACTCTTGTTTTCTTTCACCAGTTCCTTTAACTGGTCCCTCATGAGCCTTTTTGAAAACTGTAGTGTTTTTGACTTGACATTTAAACCCACAGATTCTTAACGAACATTGAGACAGCCCCTCTCTCAAGGTTTTTAAGCTGGCACACAGGCAAAACCTTTGAATCTGAATGCATACTCTTAACTCTTGTTTTCTTTCACCAGTTCCTTTAACTGGTCCCTCATGTAATATGATTTCAAGATCCTTTCTGACTCTAGTTATTGCCCAGGAAGTGCTCGGAGACCAAAGACTAAAGAGAAGCCAGCCAAGTGAAGCAATAAGAGCCAGCCATGGAGCGCTCTTAAATTCTCCTGTATGGTAGCAGGAATCTGTAAATGCCAGAGGCAATAACAAAGTGACAGAGAAGAAAATACCTACACAACACACATTTCCAAGGTAAGAGTGATAGGAACCTGAGTGAGCTAGAGGAGGCTGGCTGATGCCACCATTGCCCGACAGAGTGATTCTAGTTAGGACAAGGCTTTCTTGATGCTTATTTTGCCAAATGATGATTCATGACAAGTCTGTAAGCAAGCTTACCTCAGCTGCTAAAATACAATAGTCTCTGTGTATCTCCTTTTGAGTTCAGTTTTCAAAAATTCTTGAAACCCAGGTGATCCCCTAAGCAATTTGGAATGTGGGCTTATTCCATAGAGATAAGACTAAATACTTACATGAAATGGTTTTTTTCACTTTCAACAAGTTATTTTCGCATCATGTGATAATTAAAACCTAGCTAAACATGTTACAAAACAAAAACCTAAGAATATCACAGAAAGCCAGGATGTTTTTCCATAGCATCTACTGAGATTCCCTTACTAAGCCTGTTGGTAGTCAATCCTATAGCTGCTTCAAACTAATCATCAACAGAAAAAAAAAATAAATTTAGGGTTAGTCAGTAGTTTTCAGTAGTTAGATACAACCCAGATTTTAATCTAAGAATTATGACGCTATTTTCATTGTGAGAAAAATCTGGAGAAAACCCAGAGGGAAAGATGGATGGCCCCTAGGAAGTGGGGCTGGTCAAGAAGGAAGCTAAGCGTGGCTCCATCTCTTCTCAGGTTACAGCTTTAGTCTCCACTCCTTCCCTGACAGGTTCAAGGCCCCCACAAAAAAAAATCAAGCTACATTTCTTTGCTCCCGCTCTTCTCCGACATGAACTAGTTGCTACACCCAGTTTGGGACTCTCTCCGTGCAGTGAGCACACCTGGGAATCCCGCCTCCACACCTTTGCTCTGAGTGACTTCCCCGAAGCCACGCCCTCCTTGACATTCTACTTCCGCTGCCCACTTCTGAGCTGTTGCCTCTTCCGGGTCCACGGCGCCATCCCTAGCCACCTCAGCCCCCAAACAGCAACTGTTCCCATAAGCTCCCACAGCACTGAACGCCATGCTTCATTTGGCGCTTGCTTTTGTCCTGATATTTTTGACATTTGATACGTTCAGATCTGATCTCCCCAGCTAACTGGGTGCTCCCGGAAAGAAGAAACCAGATTCCTGTCTTTCACTGTATAATCCCCCGAAAAACCTGGCATGGTGGTTCTGTGTCATGAACCTCAGGGCATCACTTTCCATTTATCCTTATAAATTTAAGGACAAAAAGATAAAAGTGGGAGGAAAGAAGGGAAAAAGAGGAATTGTGTGAACACTGTGATTCTTTCAGAGACCTGTACTTTGGAAGAACAGATTTTGACCTTTGAAGAAAGCACTAGAAGGGACTGTTCTCCCTTCCTGAGAGGAATTCAAGCAGAGTGCTACCGGTCACCTGTTTTTCCTTTGTGACAGGGATATACTTGCCCACCATTGGACTTGGACTGGGCCTCTGTGAAATCTGGCCCAAAGCCTGAGCACACCAGCTCACAATCCCTCCTTGTTCTCTGCATCCTCTCTGCTAGAGCAATGCCGAGAAAAGCACCGCCACGTGTCCTCTGCAGTACATCCGACTTGTGGCAACTGTTTCAAAAGCTAACCTACCACCTTTGTCCCTGCTGGAACTGTCCCAAAGGTTATTGGCTACACAAACAAACCATCCTGTTTTTGTCCAGAGTCACTGTTTACAATGGGTCTCAAATTTTGCTGCCTAAGTAGAATGACTCGGGGAAATTTCAGAAAGCCTTATGCTCAGCCACACCCCACACCATAAAGGATTTCAAAAATCCTTATGCCCAGCCACACCCCACACCATTTGAATCCCTGAGGATGGACCCAGGCCTCAGTGTTTTAAAATCTTCCCCCGTGATTTCAATGTGCCACCAAGTTTGAGAAGCAGTGGTTAAACCAAGTCCATGAGCAACCTATCCAAATGTTCATTCTGTAGGGGTAATGTTAGAAAAATACTGTCTTCATCCAAAATAAGCGTGTGATTGCAGAAGGCCCTGCAGACAGGACTTATCTTTGATTTACCAGGATGGTGGGATATCTAGCTTGTGATTAAGCCAAACTTCAGCATCTCCATGTTTTTCTCTTCCCTATGGTCATTTGGGACCTCATTAGCATCTCTACCTAAAGGTAAACAAGAGGAAATTGGTTGGAAATGACAACAGTATGTTTCACCTACATGGGAGAGGAGCTCCCAGTGGTTCTGGCCCCTGACTGTTCGTTAGAATCACCTGTGATATTTAAATCCACCAGTGCAGGGCACTGATCTCAGAGATGCAGAGTTCTGTAGAGTTGCAGTTCTTATCACGTGGTCTCCAGACCAGCAGCATCTGTATCACCCGGGAATTCCTTAGAAATGCAAATTCTCAGACTCCATCACAGACTTACTGAATCAGGAATGGGGCAAGAGTGGGGGCAGAAATCTGTTTTAATAAGCCCTCTAGGGAATGCTGATCATGCTAGAGTTTGAGGACCACTGGCCTAGGGAGGACATAGGTTCCAGCGAGTTTGAAGAGATCCACAGGTGTTTCTACTGGGGAGCCTAAGTGGAATTGATGGGTTAAATAGTACTGGCTTAGGCAGCTGACGGCTGTCTCTTAATTTCACTTTCCACCTTCTCCCGATGTCTAGTCCTCCATGGGAGACAGAGTGCCCTTCACGAGGGTGAGTGTAAGAGCTCTGGCATCATGTTAAAAAATACTAGATTTGGTTTAGGTGTACTCAGTCATTTCAATAACTGGATTAAACCATCAGCGAAACACATATAACTACCCAAACATTTGTCAGTAAAATGCTCTGTCCTCATCATCTCCCCATCAGATGGACTTCCCTCCAAAATTAAAAGCCAATTAATAATGACTCTATAGCCAAATATAACTATCTTTTTTATTCAAGAGGATAAAAGAGATATGAATGTGAATGTGAAGCCTCTACTTCATTTTGGAATGGGCCTCTAGGTCAAAATTTCATGCTTCATTGGACATCCATCTCATCCTTCAAAAAGTACTTAATAGTTTAAAAAGCTCAGGGTTTTGTGTGTGTGTGTGTGTGTGTGTGTGTGTGTGTGTGTGTGTGTGTGTAATGATGGCTTTTAGAATTCTAGCTTTCATACACTCTCAGGATAGAAGCCTCTGGCAAGATATGTAATAAATGGGATCTTTATATGAACATCAATTCATACTTCACATAAAAGAAGTTACTATGCAATGACTAATGCTTCAAAGAGTGGCCAACAGGCTGGTTGTTCTCTTCTTGTCCTGCATTTGTCTGGGCCTGGGGGTGGGAAGGATCACTTACCTCTTTTGGCGTTCCAATGATGCTTCATGAGAAAGGGGGCAATCCTAATGATTAGTTTATGTCTCTAAAAGCCTTTGATGATAAGTTGATGATAAAAGATCTACTCATAGCCTTAGACAAGAGACGTGGTTGAGATTGCAAGCATGCCTCTATGTGTCAAAGTCAACAAGGCTGTTCACTCATGGGCAGCTCTGGGCACCCCAATCTGTCTACTGAGAGTTTACCTCGAGGACAGTAGATGTCTGGAGCCCATCGGTTGCACTCATAATTGTCTGCTGCCTTTTCACAGGTGAAACACTTAAATCCACCAGGATATGGTGTGGCTAGAAAAAGGATCAAGAAAAATGATTAATTTTTTTTAGACTGAGCACAGAATCCTGAAGTTAGACATTCTCATTTTTTAAAAAGGATTCTCAAAACAGCCTGCCTGGCAGTTTCTTAAAAAACTAAACATGTAACTACCATGACTCAGCAATTGCACTCTTGGGATTTATCTCTGAGAAATGAAAACTAATATTCACACAAAAACCTGTATGCCAATGTTCACAGCGACTTCAACTGTAATAGCTGAAAACTGGAAACAATTCAGATGTTCTTCAATGAATGAATGGTTAAACACATGGTGGTACCTCCATTTTATGGAACACTAGCAATAAAAGTGAACTATTAATACATTCAACAACTTGGGTGAATTTCCAGGGAATTATGCGAAGTGAAAAAATCCCCAAAGGTTATATACTGTATGATTCCATTTACATAACATTTTAAAAGTGACAACATTTTAGAAATGGAGGAAAGATTAGGGGTTGCCAGGGGTTAGGGATGGCAGTGGTTGGGGGCAGGGTGAGAGGAAACTGGGGCGGAGGCCAATAGGAATTCTTGTGCTACTGAAACTGTGTAGTGTCTTGACTTGGTGGTGGCTATACAAACTTACGCATGTGAGAAAACTGTGTAGAACTAAATACACACACATACAAATGAACACAAATACAATTGGGGAAATCTGAATAAGGCAGGTGGATTGATTATACCAATGTTAATAACCTGGTGGTGATTTTATTCTATAGTTTTTAAAGATGTTACCATTGGGGGAAAGTGAGTGAAGTGAACATGGGATCTCCTTGTGTTACTTCTTATAACTGCTTATAAATGTACAATGATCCCAAAAAAAATTTCAATTAAAAATAGGCGCTCTAGATTTCCAATGATTCACTCTTACGTTTCAACTTATATAGACATGTCAGTATGTAAATATAAATATTAGCTTGAATCCTTAAAAATTTCCTTATGTTTGACCATTTTGGAACTACAAAAGCAGCCGTATCTCTGGTTCAATCGGATATTTTTATCTGGTTGACTTGACAGGGTTAAGAATTGCTAGAGATGGACATGGTGCCGGGCTGGCTCAGTCGGTTAAGCATCTGCCTTTGGCTCAGTTCATGATCCCAGGGTCCTGGAATCGAGCCCCACATCGGGCTTTCTGATCAGCAGGGAGTCTGCTTCTCTCTTTCTCTCTCCCTCTGCCCCTTGTCACCACTCATTCTCTCTCTCTGTCTCTCTCAAATAAACAAAATCTTAAAGAATCCTTAGAGATGGTAAGGATCAGCTAAGAAAAGAGTCTTCATTACCAAAATCTATGCTGTGCAGAGGTGACCCTCCCAAGGGCTGGCTCGGGCCCGTATCCAACATCCACGGGCAGCATGCTAAGGGCCCGTGCTGGATGTGGAGGCACTCTAGGCCTCTAGCTCCAGCCTGAGGGATGCACAATTCCAGGAAGCCCTTCCTAGCCCTCCCTCCCCACCCCTGAACTGCCCCTTCCTACCTTCTGAAGAGACTGTCCTCTAGGTACTTGTATATTTGCCTTCATTTATGCTCAGGCAGAGAGGTGTCTGGTGAGAGTCACGCTCTAGACTGTGCCCTGGGCCTGGTGGGCATTTAAGGATGAGCCCCCACCCAAAGAATGTCAGGGTGCCAGGAATGCCAGGGTGTCTCTGTCCGTTTCACTGACGTGCTTTTACATGCTGCTTATCAACTTAAGAGTTTTGCCTTTTATAAACAGAACTTTCACATTTTTTTTTTTAATTTGTAAAATTACCTGGCCTCTTTGAAAACTACAGACACTCAAACACTTCATCTGCAGGACCAACTGTTCTCCCTCGCAGATGGCTGAGCCTGCATATCCCACTGGTGGAGATAATCATCTCAGGGTAAATTGCTTTGCCCACATGGAACCAATTAAGTATGTTATCAAAAATAAATGAAGGAGGAGGCATCAGCTTAAGGCCAAAATTATGGGCCAGCTTTAACTTTGATTTTCACCTTGCTTGTATTTGCTTGCAGCATGTCATGGAGCTGACTGACAATATCCAAGAAGCTGTCATGATCCAAACTCATAAACTGTCTAAAAAAGACAAGTAACTGGACCTTCTCAGAGGCCAACTATGTTCCTCCAAGAAGTTGGTGACTCAAATTCTTTTTTTTTAAGATTTTATTTATTTATTTAATTGAGAGAGAGAGAGAGAGAGAGAGAGAGAGAGAGAGAGAGAGAGGGACAGCGAGAAAGGGAACACAAGCAGGGGGAGTGGCAGGCAGAGGGAGAGGGAGAAGCAGGCTTCCCACCGAGCAGGGAGCCCGACATGGGGCTCGATCCCAGGACTCTGGGATCATGACCTGAGCCGAAGGCAGTCGCCCAACCAACTGAGCCACCCAGGAGCCTGGTGACTCAAATTCTGAAACATAATGATCATGAGTGCACGGACTGCCTTAAAATGGAAAGCAGCTTAGACGGAGCCACATTTCCCAAGGAGGAAATTTCTCTATGGGGAGACACATTCTCCCCATCGTACAGTTATAACAAAACAGAAGTAAACTATTTTGTAAAACTACACACAAATAATGTTTATATCTCCACATCTTGCTGTCTAGATAGGTGGGTTACATTTGAATTGAAAGATTCTACTTAGATAATTACATGCCTGAAGAATTTAAAACAGGCTTTTTTAAAAGATTTTATTTATTTATTTGAGAGAGAGCGAGAGCACGCATGCGCATGAGTAGAGAGAGGAGCAGAGGCAGAGGGAGAAGCAGATTCTCTGGCTTAGCAGGGAGCCCGACGCGGGGCTCCATCCCAGGACCCTGAGATCATGACCTGAGCTGAATGCAGACGCTTAACTGCGTCAGAGCCACCCAGGTGCCCTAACAGACAGGTTCTTAAATTTTAAAGCCACTCCATATTCTTATGGACACTCAAATTAGCTTATTTTGACAAATACTGTTACAGGAAAACCCATACAAAATATTTTAGGCAACGGTCCTATTGGGTACATGAAAAAACTAGTTTCACGTGTAATATGTAAGTCAGTTTAAAAGAAGAACTTTAAAACAGCTCATAAAATTTGAAGAATTATCAAAGTAAGAGTTTTGGGGGGAAAAGGATGTAAAGGATTTGTCACAGAAAAGTATTTCTCAAAAAATTATCATCATATTCACCAAGGCTTATGACTGCAAGCTAGCCGTACCACTTCAGCCTGCATGATTAATTCACGAGAGCATCCAATTTTATCTGTGTGTCACTACAGCCAGTAAAACTTTTCGCTGGAATGTTGGATTAGTTATTCCTGGAAACTTTCCCATCAAAGAGATAAATTAAGAACTCTGAATGAAGATTGATGATCCAGCCACTACAAGAATAAACTTACTGAGAACCTTGCACTAATAAGTTGTAGCGTTCCCAAATTTGGATTATTTAATAGATCCTTCAAAATGATCTTTTGCAAGATTAGTGATACATTAAATTAAATACTGTTCTTACACAAGGAGGCCTGGACTCTGAAGTTAACCCAAAGTATACCAAAATTTAAACAGGAATATGAACTAAAACATTATGGTAGCAAAATGAAGCTTTGTTTCACATCAATTATCTCTGAATGTGTTTATCAGCACATATCGCTGACAATTAACCAAATGATCTCCTTTTCAGTGAGTTTTACTTCCTATCTGTGTGAGTCTCAACCACAACTGTCTAATATTTGCTGATAGGAACTTTTATTTGCATCTTAGTTGGTAGTACTGATCAGTGAATAATCAAACTTTTCAGTAACAAATCTCTTCAAACAGACTCAGTTTTAAGTGGCTAATTATAGCACAATACCAAGTAAATGGTTAAATTCTTCCCTCTGGAAATATTTAACCAAAACTAAGGTCTACAGATGAGCAACTGTCTCCAGTAACTTGCTAATTGATACTGCATCTGATAAAGAAGTTCTTTTTTTAAAAGGAAGGAAAAAGGCTCCTAAGAGATGTGTTATTTTCTTCTTTGTTACTTCAAAGCATTACAGGGCAAGTAGAGTTTCAAATCATCGTGGCCTCAGCTGTGAATGAATCTAATTTGGCTCTTGATCACAGAGTTAATAAGCTTAGTATTCTGTATTTCAGGGCATAAGTCCTTGGTCCCTCAAGAGTAGGTGATTGTAAAGAAGAAAAGAAACGTCAAAGTGCCTAGTTACTTCCTGTAATATAATCTGTCCATTAAAGTCCCATGGTCAGACGTGGTTCAACCAACTATAATTCATTCGTAAGGCAATGGAAGAGATTTCATCTTTGTTTCCACCTCTTGGAACTTTTGCCTGGACAAAGGCCTTCAGTTATCAAAACTATGGTGAGAAGAGAATCTTGTTTTAAAATGCATGCTGCTACGTAAGGCATCCAAACTTGTTTTATTCTTGCCAAATTAATTCCCATTGTTTTGGAAACTGGATGCAAACCTAACATTTCTAGAAACCTAATAAAGTGAACTTCTTTCTGAGTCCATCCAGCAACAAAATATTGTCAGTATAACTTGAATACTAGGAACATATTTCTGACAGAAATGCATTTTCTAGTACCTTTCTAGAGAGTGCCCTTACCCACCAAGACTTACGTAGTATAGAATTATGAAGAAACTTCGTTGGTTCACTATCTGGGCATAAGCAAGCCCCTTGCAGGGATATAGCTCTTTGTTCCACATGATTAAGGAAAGACTCAGAATATGCAACCAGAGGAAAACTGGCTTTCTCAGAAAAGGTTTCTATTATAAGTAAAGAAATGGAGGCCAAGAACAGGTTGCAACCACTTAGGATGTTAATTTCTGCTATCTCATCTGACGTCCGGAAACCAAATAAGTCACTCCATTTCTCTGAACACAAACTCCTGTTTTGAAGGTTTTATTGGTCTTTGGTATTTTAATCATAGGGTGGGAAGGAAATTCATCATTTTTCAGATGAAAAAGAAAAGAAAAGCATACAAATTATAGCAAAGAATGTTATTGAGGACAGTGCCTCAAGTTTGAAAGCCATAAAGTTGATTTTTTTTCAAAGGTTAGAAACTTTAAAACTTAGGGAATCAGGGGGTGCCTGGCTGGCTCAGCTGGTAGAGCATGCAATTCTTGATCTCAGGGTTGTGAGTTCTAAACCACATTGGGTATAGAGATTACTTAGAAATAAAATCTTTAAAAAACAAACAAACAAAAAAAGAAAAATTAGAGAACCAGAGATCACAGATTAGTCATGGGATGCTGAACTCTCCTCACCAGGCTTTCAGTCTCACCACACTTACGATCTCTGAGGGCTGTTTGCAGCCCAGAAGAAATGAGTTTGTTTGCCTAGTGTAGAAAACTCATGTGTCTTCTCAACATCTGTGGCATCAGTGATTTCTCCTTGGGTAGGTTCTGAGCGGTATCTAACATAAATGGAATCAGGCTCGCTCGCTGACCCCAAGAAAGTTGTTTGTGCCTCCATCTACAAAGTGAGGAGATTATATTAATAATTCAAAGTCAAAATAATCCCACTCTTCCCTCATCTATTTTTTTATGGCCTATGTTCTACAGAAACCTATTTATTTGTAGAGAGATCATTCCATCTAAACCTGGTCTAGTGGGTGCTGCTCAGGGGCAGAGGAACATGACCTTTTAAAGAATCAAAGTGCAAAAACAAGCAAACAAACATCAAAAACTTCTGAAATAGTGCAGAGAAATGTGAAGTAGGAACTGTTGACAGTAACTTCAATCCAGCAAGAATTTTTACTCCCCATGGCCAGTTACAGAGACTCAGAACTCAGCCCAGAGCTGCTGGTGAATCATTTATGTGTAATCTAGCTTAGAAATGACATCTTCTAGCTTCCATAGCTCAAGATCATATCAGAAAACCCCACCAATTCTTTCTATATGGGGAATTCTTTTTTCTTAAGACTTATTTATTTATTTTAGAGAAAGAGAGAACATGAGTGGGGGGGAGGGGCAGAGGAAGAGAATCTCAAGCTGAGTGCAGAGCCCAGTGTGGGGCTCAATCTCATGATCCTGAGGTCAAGAGCCGAGCCGAAACCAAGAGCTGGCCGCTCAACCAACTGAGCCATTCAGGTGCCTTTATTTGGTGAATTCTTTTTAATCAGGCCATGGCCTTATTTAATTAACACAGGCTACATAAGCGGAACTTTCCTGCCACCTTCTAGATAGCGGGGGTGATTGCTTCTCTGGCCTGGCAGAGCTCATCCTTCAGAGATCCCATTTTGAAATGGATTTTTCAGATAGGGGTCCACTCGACCCTGGCACTGACCCACCACAACACTGGTGCAGGAGTGGTGTGTATGTGTTTGTTTTATTCTTGTGCACTTAAATCCAATCCCCTGGATTTTCCTCCCCACCCTGTGTGGACAATCACAGCCTCAGAGGAGGCCTGTTTTTCGGCCCAGTGACTACTGAGTCTATCACTGAAGCAGACAAAGAATCCCATAGAAACTGAAGGCTTTAGCAATCACAACTGAGACTGAAAGCTAAGTTTTTGTTCACCAAGTCTAATAAAAAAGCATGGCTCTTTGGAGGAAAGAACAAAATGCAATCCTAGAAAACAGCAAGTATCCAAGCACCTTCTTTTCATGATTACTAAAATCAACAGTCCCACAAAAACAAGGAGCCGGATAATCTTTCCACACAATTAACCAGAAGGCACCAGCCTTTACTCGTGAGAGTGTACAATAGCAGTAAGTCTGAAGGAACTATTTGCTGTCTGCCAAATGTATATTTGGAGTTAAAAAATTAGAGGGACATAGTTTCAGCAGCCTCAGTTTATCATCTAAGCCAATTACAACAACATCCTAAGCAACGAACATTCAATTGACTATTATATATGTGCCTAGTATCTTATGGATATTCTTTCTCATTCACAAAATAATGCAACAGGGTGTGTATTATTTCATCCACTCTAGAAATGTAGAACTCAACACTTAACAAAATGCCTCTAACATTCACTGAGCATATACTGTGTCTCATACTCTAAGTGCTTTGCACGCATTCCTTTATTTAACCTTCACAAAGTGAGGGAATTCTTTCCTTCCTTCCTTCCTTCCTTCCTTCCTTCCTTCCTTCCTTCCTTCCCTCCCTCCCTCCCTCCCTCCCTCCCAGAAGACTGCAAAGCAGTTGAGTTAGCCACTGACCCAAGATCCAAGCCCCTGTGCATTCCATGGAACACCTCTCATCTAAACCAGAACACATACACATTAAATACTCTAACCACGTGGAGTCCCTGTGGCTGCCCCCACTTGGACTATAAGATCCTCAAAAGCAAGAACTCTTTGTTTTTTTTAAGATTTTATTTATTTATTTGAGAGATAGAGAGCACGAGAGGGAAGAGGGTCAGAGGGAGAAGCAGGCTCCCTGCCCGATGCGGGACTCGATCCCCGGACTCCAGGATCATGACCTGAGCCGAAGGCAGTCGCTTAACCAACTGAGCCACCCAGGTGCCCAAGAACTCTGTTTTATTTGCCCTGACACCTCCCATGTCTATCACAATGCTTGACACACAGTAGACGCTCCAAAAAATGTTTGCTGAACAGAACATTTCAAAAGAGTAACATACCTCAAGGCAAATGCTAACGGTCAAAATATACCCAACATACCCGGCTCTCCCCACCACGGGGGCCATGCAGAAGACGACTCAAACAGAGATAAAAGAGAGAAGATAAATACAGAGATGGAGACCAAAAGAGGCAGTAAAACTGCTGTGTTTCCCAAAGTGCGATCCTTAGAACACCACGTAACAGAAGCACCTGTTTTTTCTTTTGCTTTCAGCCAAAATTCATGGGTACAGTCCCAGATATGTGCAATCAGACATTCCACGGAAGGGATCTGGGCACCAACGTTATTACGCACTCCCTAGATGATTCTTAAACACAGGAAACCAAAAGGGACAGGGAATAAGAAGTTGTGGGAGGCCAATCACGCTGAAACTGAGAATCAGAAGCACAGACAGGAAGACCAGCGATTATCTTGCCTCTCAAGGACTGATATTTGACAAATACCTCTGCCTGGGACATGCCAGTTCACTTTGATAACTGACTGAGAGCTGGCACGAGTTAAAGGGAAGGGTGTTCAGAATCAGAGCGACTGTGCTGGGAACAGAGAAAACAAGCCTTAACGATCTGCCTTGAAATAAAAAACAAAGGCCCTATAAAAAGGTGAGGGTAAAGCATACAACATCTTTGGGAGCATCTGCACCCCCCAATTCAATCAGCCAAGGTCTCCCCTGCATGGAAGGCTGACTTTTCCTGTCCATTTTCCAACTCACATCTTATTCAAAGTAAAGTCACACTTCTGCAGCAAAGAGAACGGAGTCTTACTTGAAGGATGGAGGTAGACAATGTCTTTCACTGTGAAGTCTCGCGATTGAGCAGCTTTCAGACAATCAGCCAGTAGGCTCAGGAACAGGAGCCAGGCCAGGGCAGGGCCAGGGTCCATGGCAGACCGAAGAGTCACTCATGCAGGGGGCCCGGGGGCCAGAATTTGGGACCACGGGAGGGAAGTCGCACCTGAAATATGAAGCAAGACTCATCTCAGTGTCCAACTCGAGGAAACCATGGGAGACTTGGCAGATCTCCTGTGCTGGGAGGATGGGCTTGGGGCAGACAGGGAGCCAAAGGCACAAGGAAGTGGGTAGACATGGAGAGAAGCCTTATGAACGGTGATTTCAGAGCATTTAGGACGTTCCAGCCCCAATCTATTCTTACTCAAATAGCTAAAGCTCCACAGGTAGCAGTCCCCTCTCATATCTAGCAGAGATGGATTTTAATGAATTTTATTTTAATGAAATCCAGGTACTTTTGCCAGAGGGCCAGGGGATGTCTGCCAGAATGCAACAATAAATAAGTCAGGTACAAAAGTTCAAGAGCATTTCCTTGATGATGGTGAAGGCCAGGTATGAGAGTGCAGGCTTTCTGGGTCATGGTGCCCAAGAAAACCTATACAGGGTAGTCTTTCAGATTTGGAAAAGAAAAAAGAAAAGAAAACAAGGAAGGAGGAAGGAAAGAAAGAGAGAAAGAAAGAAAAGAAAGAAAGAGAGAGAGAGAAAAAGAGAGAGAGAAAGAGAGAAAGAAAAGAAAGAAGAAAAGAAGAAAGAAAGAAAGAAAGAAAGAA